GCAGGGCACGGAATGCAAGGAAGGATCGGTGTGGTGATTGAAATTCTTTGAAATCGAGCTGCGTTTGTGCAATGGTTTATTCTTCTGTCGCGAAAGAATGGCGATCTATCCTTTACAATGCGAGGCGTGATGATGTTCTTCCTTTTCGTGTGCCACGCGCAACCGCGGTTACAAGACGCAACACGATTCCAGTCGACGATTACAACGTTCAAGAATGACAATGATGATTAAATGATAAACCGACAATCACTAGCGAAGTAGTAACAAGGCCGCGAAAGATGTCTCGCAACAAGATGAAGAAAAACGTGAAATTGATGTCTTGCACGGACGGTCGACCCTTAGCGAGCCGAGATACGCGAAAAATTAGAACGGAACAGCGTGTTCTAATTTCTATTCGAAAAGTTTCTCTCGCTGAGAGTTCGCTTAACGTTTTTTCAACGGTCTCTCGGTGCTCTCAAGGCACCCAGTTTATATACCGATATCCGTTCGTTTTTTTTTCAAGCGGAACGAATAAATTGATCGACCTTCGATCGGACGAAGTCTTTTCGAACATATTCTACTGTGGCAATGTTTTTGATCCAACATGACAATTAAGTGTTCTTATACCCGAACACGTGATGAGACACGAGTGTTCCATATTTACTTGCGTTGTTGTTAGCAATCCGCGTGTTATTGTTTAGCGATCGTTTGCCGCATCATGCTCGGCTCACATGATGAGCATGATAACATTAACGATTTNCGTTGTTGTTAGCAATCCGCGTGTTATTGTTTAGCGATCGTTTGCCGCATCATGCTCGGCTCACATGATGAGCATGATAACATTAACGATTTCCGTTTGAATTTAATTAGAATTTTGAACATGCCGCCCGCCTTGAAGCGGTAGCTTCAACCCGATCGAAGATCCAGCAGAACGCACTTAAACTAACGATAACGCAGTACAAAAAAAAAAGAAAAAATGGAAAATTGATAATATAAAGAACTTAATANTCGCATCGAGGTATTATTTCGAGGGTGTCGCATCGCATTCGACCGGCAAAACGCATAACTTTCCGATAGGACGTCGGTACTCAGAACGCGCGGTTTTAACCGTTACTACGAGTGTTAAATCATCGGAACCCTGATGACAATGAATGATGCGTCCGAGCTCCCTCTTGCATGGAGGCAAGGCGTGATTTTGGAGCAACACGAGCTGACCTTTTATGNTGGAGGCAAGGCGGGATTTCGGAGCAACACGAGCTGACCTTTTATAATTGCTGGCCTGATCTTTCGCCATTTGTTTCGCTACTGGAGTGTATTGACGTAGTCGCTATACCAAAGTTTCCAAAATCGCTCCGTAATGTGACGAAGAAGTTGCCAGCGTGACAGACTATTTTCGTTGATTTGCAGCAGCGATGGCTCAGAACTCGCGGTGATCGCGGAACCGATTAGAAAATGTCCCGAAGTGAGAGCCTCATAATCATCGAGACTATCAGACAAAGGTGCTAGCGGACGTGAATACAAACACGCGTCCACCTTACACAACAGCGTAGTAAATTCCTCAAAAGTTAAAGTATTGTTTCTCAGAACCCGGCGCAAATGATACTTGACGCTCCGGACTCCGGCCTCCCATATCCCCCCGAAGTGTGGGGCTGAAGGGGGTATGAAATGCCACGTAACTTTATCAGCCGCAGTTCGACTTTGAAAATTTGGATCTCGGAGTGCCGATTTAAATGCCGCTTCGAGAGCGCGATCTGCACGGACGAAGGTGGTCCCATTATCAGAATAGATTGAAAGCGGAAGCCCGCGGCGAGTGCAGAATCGCGAGTAAGCGTTAAAGAAAGCGGGAGTTGAATAATCAGACACTAATTCTAAATGAATGGATCGCGTAGCTAAAATATCCCGGGAATATCTTGTGATTTTCCCCTGTCGATGGAAAAAAAAGAGTTGCCAGAGAGCCAATTTCGGTTCTTCCCAGAGAGAAAGNGCGAGCGCAGAATCGCGAGTAAGCGTTAAAAAAAGCGGGAGTTGAATAATCAGACACTAATTCTAAATGAATGGATCGCGTAGCTAAAATATCCCGGGAATATCTTGTGATTTTCCCCTGTCGATGGAAAAAAAAGAGTTGCCAGAGAGCCAATTTCGGTTCTTCCCAGAGAGAAAGAGAGAGAGAAAGAGAGAGAGAGAGAGAGAGAGACCTCGAGGGGCAGATGACACATAAAATTTTAGTATATCGGCAGTCGTAAAACGTCATATCGAGTCCTCGACAGGCCAGCGCCGTTTGACAAAGAGAACGATATTTTTTCCAGCGAACCGATACGATATTTCTTAGCCCTGTGTTTCGAAATTTTATTGGACGTCGTATTTTCCGGTTCACGTTCCGACCGTTTAACAGCTACCGCTAAGAATACGGGGAAGAAACGATGGATTGNGGGGGGGGGGGGAAGCGCAGAAATCCAGCTTGGACCGCGAGCCGTTCTCGAGCGGCGATCTTACTAACGACGCAATTGTTTCCCTATGAACATCTCCTAGGGGATTGTTTTAATGGCGATGGACGATAATGCGCTATCCACGATCCTCGAACCTCGCCGCAAGAACGTGCTTTTTTTCTGTTTTTTTTTTCGAAGTGGGCCGCCGAACGATTCCGCCTATCGCGCGGCCAATTACATGGCTCGTTGTAACGCTTATGCTTCGCGCCGGCGTTTGATTGACCGCGGTAATCACGCGGCGGTCGCGATTAATTTAACGATCATGCTCCACGATTATCGAGGAAGACCTCGATAAACATGCGAGAGAGGAGAGTACCCGGGCGTGTGTCTCGCCGAGATAATGTGAGCGCGCGAGTGAGCGATGTGTACGTGTTTGCGCGCGCGAATGCGGCTACTGAACTTTGCAATTTGATTTCCAGCTTCGACCGTTCAATTCAGGATTGTTGAACTCCTCGCTTCCGGCGTTGAAGAGATTCGGCTGCGGACGGAGAACGGAGAGTCGTCCGGCAATGCCGACATTGAATCGATATGTGAGAGATCTTTCGCCAATCGTCGACTTTTAAACGTCGATGGCGTCAGTTAATTCCACCCTCTCTTTCCCTCTCTCTTTCTCTCTCTGTCTCCTTTTTTATCTGTCCGTCGTAATTACATCGCGATTTTCTACATAATTATGAGATAGACGTGGCAACGATGATCGATTATGCGAGATTCCTCTTTACGTAATTCAATCTCTACGCCGAATGAAAATATTATAACGTCGAGCTTGCTGAACAATTTGACGATTCTCGGCACCGTGTTCTTCTCTTTGTTGAATGTAACGAATACGTTAATTAATTTGCCGAGTAATCACTACAACTGGTGATATTCAATCATAGTCGATAATCCGATAAAAAATGTAGATTCTCGATTTCTAACGAGAATTTTATGATTTAATTATGTTACATTTAACGTTGCCTTCTTTAAAATACACCGAGATTTACTTGCTTAGTAAACTTTCGGAAACGACAATCATGTCTTATCAAAGATAAATCGAATCGTGGATATCGAATTATCGGGTAAATTGATTTTGAGCACTGACCTTCTTGAGATGCCCCTTATTAATGCCTACGAAAACAACGGTGTAATCGCCGGTCGAAGTGGCCGCAACTGCTGTTAAATGAGTCTCAAACGTCAAGACCGAAGTCGCTTCCATCGGTTCTTCGCCCCTTAAGGGCGTGTTTTTATCGAGACCCCAGAAATCCTCGCCGATCGTCTGCAGTGNTGTTTGTAGTTCTAAATGTCAGACGAACAAAATGACGTATGTGTCAAATTAATACGCTGCGTAGTTTTTGCTGGCGCCATCTCTTAATTAAACAGAAAAAAACTTATGCATACACGTGGTATATACACACTCTTTTTACATATACATATATATATGTTTATTTTAAAACGATTTGAATGTTTCATGTTCACGTCACTATAATTGCGCGGTCGGTCACTAGACCCGATCACACCGCTCATGTTAGATACTCGGGTACTTAACATTCCTCGCTCGGGACGTGTAAGACAAATTGCAAGGAAAATATTNTTCATGTTCACGTCATTATAATTGCGCGGTCGGTCACTAGACCCGATCACACCGCTTATGTTAGATACTCGGGTACTGAACATTCCTCGCTCGGGACGTGTAAGACAAATTGCGAGGAAAATATGTGCGTTCCTCCGGGTTAAGAATTAAAAGCTCGCTTTATAACGACTAATTCACCGCCCGAGGAAGTAGGCCGCAGCTGATTTTACTTGCAGATATCTAACCGCGAGCGTTCAAGTGCGCGAAGTATGACAAAATAAATCCATTTTTCCGCAAGCCAGCGGGAAATTGCAAAACTCATCTTTTTGATTGTCCTACACATGTGCAAAGTGTTATTAAAATCTGAATTTTCTGCGTGGAGTACGTACTATCGTCAGACGCGCACGTGACGTGAAGATGTTATTTTGTTACGTCCAGAGAACGGGAATTCGTTTATTTCATCATATCGTATTCCAATGTGAGTGTAATCTTTTGGCACAATATTCACACATAATTCGTTCCTCCTCTTTTTCCTGTCTTTTTTCTCCCATTTCACTTTTTCTTTTTTTTCTTACTCTTTTTTTCCCTTCATTTTATGAAACATTCATTAAATAACCGTTAAATAACGATTTACGAATCGTTAAATTACGATTACGTTTCGTAGAAAAAAAATGGGAAAGGTACATTTGTTTTGTTCGAAGGAAACAAAAAAAAGCGATCCATTTGTTTTGTTCGAAGGGTACAAAATACGGAGATTTTTTTCCTCGGTTTAGTGCCGTGCATAATAAAAAATGACGTGACACCTCACTGGTCAATATATAAAGATTTCGACCTATCCTAACCCGAAATTCATCCCTACCAACTTTATCCGAGCCTATATAAGGGCCTCGCGACGGAAACAAGACAGTTCGCTAATGGTACGAAATACTTGTATGAAATACCAGTAAGAAACACTAATACGAAACACCAGTTCAAACAGTACGTCGAAGATGTCGTCGGCAAGCACAGATCTCTCAAGCTGCAACGAGCGTGTGCAAATCAAAGTATTAATTCTCGTCGATCGAGGAGTTGAGAAAACATCAATTNTCATCCGCAAGCACAGATTTTTCAAGCGGCAACGAGCGTGTGCAGATCAAAGTATTAATTCTCGGCGAACGAGGCGTTGGGATAACATCAGTTGTATGGAAATTCGTGGGGAATACGTGAGAAAATGTAAGCAAAGGTATCTTGCGCAAATCTGTACGTGTCAACGACAAGCTATACGAGTTAAACGTGTTTGACACCGTCGCCGTTAAAGAATTTGGAGAAGTATCACAAGAGTACAAAGATGTCGACATATGTCTTCTAATGTACGCAGCAAACGATCTGAGTAGTTTCAAGAACGTTATGTATTGGATATCCAAGTTCAAGAAAGAAGCGAACAATAAAAATGCAGATACGTTCACTTTCGTCGTTGTTGGCAACAAGCAGGTCGTCCCCGACTATGCCAGACTAATTTCAAGAAAAGAAGCGAATGATTGGTGCTGGAACAATAATCATTGGCACTCAGAAATATCAACCAAAGAGAAGCCCACCATCAACTGAGTATTTGGAGTAGGGATGGCATTGTACGAGCATCGACAAGAGGAATTGGGACAGTCAAGTANTTTCGGCGTTGTTGGCAACAAGCAGGACGTCCCCGACTATGCCAGACTAATTTCAAAAAAAGAAGAGGATGATTAGTCCTGGAACAATAATCTTTGGCACTCAGAAATATCAACCAAAAAGGAGCCCACCATCAACAAAATATTTGGAATAAGGATGGCATTGTACGAGCGTCGACAAGAGGAATTGGGACAGTCAAGTGGAACTCTCAATAGCATCCTGATTTCTGATGTTATTATAAGAGCAATTACATGGTGTCGGCACTTCAAAAACTAAGACGAACAGATACTTATTGGTAAGCGAAGAAAAAAATACTTAACACTTTGTTAAAGATATTATTTTTGTGTGGAAGGAACAGAAATATATAATAAAATTAATTTGCAGCAGATATGACAATGTACGAGCAGAATCGGGACAGTCAAGTGAAACTCCCAATCGCATTATCATTCCTGATTTTCTTTTAAGAACAATGACATGGTGTTTGCCCTTCAAGAACTAAGGCGAACAGAT